AACCATTCTCTGTCTGCTGCAAGTGTAAGTGCATGAATCTGAACAGCAGTTGGCTGATTTAGAACTTCTTAATCAGTAAATTTGTTTCCTTCATAACTTGTTTTTGTTTGTTTAAAAACAGCTGTTATAATAGGTCCTGATGGACAGCCCTTAACAGTTTACCCTTGTCATATTTGTGGGAAAAAATTTAAATCCAGAGGATTCTTGAAAAGGCACATGAAGAATCATCCCGATCATATGATTAAGAAGAAGTACCAGTGTACAGACTGCGACTTTACAACGAACAAAAAAGTAAGTTTCCACAATCACCTGGAAAGCCATAAACTTATAAATAAAGTTGATAAAACTCATGAGTTTACAGAATATACAAGAAGATACAGAGAAGCGAGCCCGTTGAGCTCTAATAAACTAATACTGAGGGACAAGGAGCCTAAACTACACAAGTGCAAATACTGTGACTATGAAACTGCAGAGCAGGGACTACTCAATAGACACCTCCTTGCGGTTCACAGTAAGAACTTCCCCCACGTGTGTGTGGAGTGCGGGAAAGGATTTCGTCATCCGTCAGAGCTGAAAAAGCATATGAGGACCCACACTGGGGAAAAGCCATACCAGTGTCAGCACTGTGTCTTCAGGTGTGCTGATCAGTCCAATCTGAAAACTCACATCAAATCCAAACACGGGACTGATTTGCCATTTAAATGTGAGCACTGTCCCCAGGCGTTTGCAGATGAAAAGGAACTGCAGCAGCACACGGAATTATTTCAAGGGCATAAGACTCATCAGTGTCCACATTGTGACCATAAGAGCACCAATTCCAGTGACCTGAAGCGACACATAATTTCGGTTCACACAAAGGATTTTCCCCACAAATGCGAGGTATGTGAAAAAGGCTTCCATCGTCCATCTGAGCTCAAAAAGCATAGCGAGACCCATAAAGGTAAGAAGATACATCAGTGTAGACACTGTGACTTTAAAACATCTGATCCGTTTGTACTTAGTGGGCATATTCTCTCGGTTCACACGAAGGACTTGCCTTTTAAATGCAAAAGATGTAAAAGAGGATTTAGGCAGCAAAATGAACTTAAGAAGCACATGAAGACCCACAGCGGAAGAAAAGTTTATCAGTGCCAGTATTGTGAATATAGCACTACGGATGCGTCGGGCTTTAAACGACACGTAATATCAATACACACGAAAGACTATCCACACAGGTGTGAGTATTGCAAAAAGGGATTCCGTAGGCCGTCTGAAAAAAATCAGCATATAATGAGGCACCACAAAGAGGCCATAATGTAATATATGATCTCCAGAAGGAAGCAATTTAGAAACTGTGATATGCTAATTGGGGAAAAAAAAAAAAATCTCATGAACTGTTTCTCCTGGTTTCAAAGCTTGATATTAAATCATAACTTTACATTCTTTGTATTAAAAGTCTTAAAAGTATTAGGCTTGACAGGGGATCTCGTAGCCCTATGATTGTTGCTTATCAGAACCTAAAGAGCACTATAGAATGCAGAAGGATGGATGAATGTCTTAAATTTGCAGAAAGGTGGATGAATGTCTTCAGATTCTTGGTGTTACACATTGTTAAGCTATAGAAGACAAAACAAAGATGATTGTGTTACTCATCTTGTCGGTGACGGCATTTGTCTCTAATGAAAACGGTTCAGATGTATGGTGGGGTTATTTACAAATTGTTTGCAAAGGCAACTGAGTAACTTGCGCAGTTTTGAGAGGAGAGTGTTAGTCACTTGATCATAACGTTTTTAAATTGTGCCTGGAAATGAAATTCCAGAGCTGTTCAAATCTGGGGGGGTTGTCCCCTTTTTTATTTTTTTTTAATTTTTTTTTTAAGAAAAAAAAATACAAAAAAAAAAGAAAACACCAAACAAAAACCAATAACATTTCACTGGGAAACGTTTTTGTTTCCTTTTATTAGTTTAGGTCCAACGAGTCATTTTTTTAATGGTTTTCAAAGCTGCTAACCTATTTTATTGCAGGGTATGATGTTTAAAATATAGCGTTATGTTATGATCTCAAAGGTGGTGTTCTGGTGCTAGGGTTAAAGATGTGTATGTATATAATTTCCCTTTTTTATCTGAAACTACAAGTTGAATGTTGTTCAGTATGGCACATATAACAACATTGACTTTTTTTTTTAAGGATAAAATGGATGCAGCTCATAGTGTTGTGAATCGACACCTTTTTTTTTTTCCGCTACTTTAAAATCTTCTCTAAAGAGAATATTAAAGACAAAGTTGGGAAATGTAGGGGTTTTTAAATTAAAATTCAGAGTACTTAGAAGTTCTGTAAGGCAGTGTTCTGAACAGGTATGACTGTTGTCCTACCTCCTTATATGAAATTTTCAGTATAGACATAAAATTGCACCTTTTAATCAATTATTTAAAAAAAACAAATCTGTACCATACTATAAACGTGCATTTTCAATCTGTAAGAAAGTATATATGCAGTATTTAACCAGAAAAATATGCTGCCACTAGAGTTTGGAGGTGGATCTTCAGTTTACAGTGTATACATTAAAAATATGCATCCCTTTAAACAATGCTTTGTGTTAGCATGCTGCAAATCAAATGGCGCTTAATATAACGAGCTGGTCTAGGGCTATTTAATGAAAAACCTGTTCATAAATGTTATGCATATAATGTGTATTTTTTCCTTTTTTAGTTGCTTCATGTTTGCACACAGCTGTTCACATGATGAATTGTAACTTCATGCGATGTTGTGGCTTTGTGTTTCAGATAATGGTCATGTTTTGGTTTTGCACCAGATGAGAATCAGTTCCTTGAGAAGAATTTTTTTTTTTTTATATATATTTCTAAACTTGAGGAAGTTAAAATTGGGAAATCTCTTAGAAAAATACGTGTTTTATGTGGCTGTAAAAATTATGTACACGCTGTAAAATAAGATTGTCACTGTTATGTGGGATTATTATTTCTAAATGTGTTACTCATCGTAACGGGCATACAATAAAAAGCATCTCTTGCACTCCAAAAATTTGGAGTTTGCTTTTCATTTGTGGTGGTTAGGAAAGTCTCATTCTGTGTAAATTTGCTTAATATTTTAAATTACATTATTCACTAATTGACGTGTAATAACATTTAAAGGGAACAGGTTACTTGAGGTGTATTTACCAGACCATGGAGAGGAGAGTATTGGGGTTTTATTTGACTGACCCTTTAAAGCTGCAGGTAACGTATTTGTGCTTATTTCTAAAATCATTCTCTGATGTAATACTGACGTGCCTTTGAAAATTTTTCCTTTAAGTCAGAAGAGCGTAATAAAACTTCTCACACATTCTGGGAAAAGCCAGATAGGTTTTCTCTCTTTATCTGTGTAATAAGAATAGCTTGCAAAATGAAATACTGAAAATACTGCTGTCATAATTGCCCTCTCTTTTTAGAATACTTGAGTTGTGACATCAGCAATAGATTAAAAATGTTTCGAAGAGAGTGTGATATTAAATGAGCTCTTCATCAAGGATTTCCAACATGCTTTTAGCCAGTGAACTTGCGGGTTTTGTACTACAAAGCAGACATGAATCTGTTCATCTGGTTTTTGTTCATAGTGCTTTTTTTCTGTGCTCAGCATTCAAAGGAGGAGGCTGTGTCATTCAAAAAAAATCTTAAAGTTGTGAGCTTTGACAATTCTAATGCTTTATTCCTGAACATTATGTTGGATCCGTCGGCTGAAGGGGTTTCTTCATGGCAGACTGAAGATGATCGTTCTGACTCTGTGACAAAGCACACATCTCTGCTGGCTCATTTTTCCACATAACAGACGGACGGAATAATCAGGTACTTGGGTATTTTAAGCTTTTTCTATAGCCAACTTTGTAGAAAGACTTAATCCCACATTGCCCAAGAGCCCATCACAGTTCATGAGGCCCAGAAGGGGTTGTGGGGGCTAGAAATGACAGGAGTTAAACTTAGAGAGAGCCCGCATTTCGGCCAGCAGTACCGAGTGTGGACATCGTGCTTTGAAGCATTGCATTCAGATCATGTTTTGATACCTTCTATCATTATTCACACTTGGTATTTACTGGTGAACTGTATTAACATTGACATTGACAACGTATGTTTGAGCATAACAGTAGTGATTCTTCCAAGGAGCGTGGTGAAAGCCTTTGACCTTTACATATCTGATATAGTTTAAAATTGCATGTGCGGGTTGATTCTTTCTGCAAAGAGCAATTGTTCAGTGCAGGATTGTTGTTTAGCTCAGTCAGTGAGTGGTATCTGCGGTTAAGAGCATGGGACATGAGTTTGGTTACCTAGATTTTCTATTGTATCTAGTTTTGTCTTGCCCTAAACTACGTACCGGAAAAGGCACAAAAGGTTTTTTTAAATATATTTAATGATGGCAGAAAACATCTGGTGGATGCCGGATAAAAGCTTAAGTCACTTATAGTTTCTTCATTATGTTACAGAGCTATCAAGTTCTGTGACTTTATATTACAGAAGTTGAGGCTTAACAGTCCACCTAATGAGATTTCTTTTTACGTTGGGGAAAAATATGTCATACCTTTAGGAACATTGCAATGTGGGAGGAAGGGTTTTTGAAGCTGTGGGGAAGGCATTAGTGGCTGGAAGGATGACGGCTGAGGTTGGTTGTCTCCTGAGGTACAGACATGGGGAGGTGTGTGGGACTTGGAGCAGGTGCAGCCTCTGGGGGTGAGGCTGGTGATGGCTGGGTGGAGAAACTGAGATGTTAAACAGCAGGTTGGTTACAGGCAGCCCTGGCCCGTGTGAGACCTCGGGATGAGTTAGCACTTCTCTTTGCATTAGCTTATTGCATTAGCATTTTGAGTGTTTCTCTACATTGATTGTTTCTCTCTTCTCCTCCTGGCAGCGTATGGACGGTGACACCAAGCTAAGGAGGAAGGCTGTGGAAACAAGGTCTGTCAAAGAGGGAAAAGTCTTGGGCCTTATCCCACACCTTGCTAAGGTCAATGTATTACTCCCCATATGTTGTTAAATTTCAAACCGTTTTAAAAAAATAAAGTGTGTCGGGTTTTTTTTTTATTTGAGCAGTGGTTTAAAAATTCAGTAGCTTATGGTACCACTGGGAGAACGTGGGTTTTTACTTGGCCCTTTGCCGCTTCTGCCCAGTGCTGCTTAGGTGTTGCTGACTTGAGGCTAGACTTAGGTACTGCTCTGGAGTTTGAAATTCCCACTGATGCTTCTGCTCCTGCTTCCAGAATTGACATCTTTCTGTATAGCTGCGGATGTTGAAGCTTTCTGTAACTGTGTCCCCGAGCCGCATGATGAATAAGCAGAGGAGGAGCTTGAAGAGGTTAAGAGAGCTCTGGGTTGTTTGGTTTTGTTGGTTTTGTTGTTTGTTTCTTTTTAAAGTAATGCTGTGATGGATGGATGGATGGATGGATGGATGGTAGGAATCAACAAGATAAGGCCTGTGCAGTGTGTTGCAGCTGTGACATTGGGGCTGTGGAGTAAAGGACGTAGAAGTTGCGGTTAGAGAAGGAAAAATGAAGGAATGTGCCTGCTAGACATAGAAAAACGTGAGAGGAATGGTATTATACACAGTGCTTTTACTTTGTGCATGTTGTTTGCATAATTTACGATCTTTTTATATGTACCTTATATGTATTCGTCCAACAGAAGGTAAGACTGGTGGAATCTTTCTTTTTCTTCCTTTTCCC